ATATATATATACACATACATACATATACATATACATACAGTATACGCCATGCTAACCATGCTATTTTCAAAAATAAATAGCATTTTCCAATCCTTGCAAAATCTTTGCATAAAACGAGTTGTGTTAATGTGTTAAATAAATCTCTACCTTTCTCAAACAGAACAACCTTCAGGAAAACCAATATTATTTTTAAAACAGATCTTCAACTGGGATTGCCTTGTTCTCGTTTATTAAAGCTCTGAAATTCCGTAGAGCAGCTTCCAAATCATCAGTTCTCGTCTTGTTGGATCTTTTGAACATATTCTCTACCAGATCCTCCTGTCAACTATACTCCAGTAATTAGAATCTTACCTCTAAGGCAGATCCTCCAGGGTTTCTTAGAAGGCTGGTATGTCTAAATCACAACAGCTAGCTACTGGAGTGCCTCAGGGCTCCGTTCTTGGACCACATCTCTTCTCCACACGTCATCATTAGTACACATCACTGCTATGGTGTTAACACTCATCTCTACCTCTCATTCCATGCTTGATCCGACAGTAGCCACTAGTATCTCAGCCTTCCTGACAGAAATTTCTTGCTTTAGGAAGGACCATCACCTTCAACTCAACCATGTCCACAAAGAACTGTATATGATTTCGGCCTAAACCATGCTTCGTCACAATTTCTCCATCCAGCTGGGCGCATCAACCATAACTCTTCCGAGTACAACCAGAAACCTTAATGATCAACTTCACATACATACACTCTCAGAAATATAGGTAAACGAGCTGTCACTGCGGTGGTACCTTTTCAAAAGGTACACATTTGTACTTAAAGGGTCCATATTAGTACCTTAAAAGTATATATTAGAAACTAAAGATTTTAGGAGGAACACTTTTGTACTTTTCAGGTACTAATACATACCCTTAAGGTATTAATATGGACCTTTAAGGTACAAATTTGTACCTTTTGAAAAGGTACCACCCTAGTGACAGCTCATGTAGCTTTATTTCTGAGAGTGTACTGCTAGAATGGCCTGATTCTGCAGATTTGCTCCTTTCTTTGAGCTCTTGTTCTGCCCAGGCTTATTGTAATGCTCTTTTAGCAGGCCTTTCAGCCAGTACTATCAAACCTCTACAACTGCTCCAGAATTTAGTGAGGTGTCTAATGACCCAAACAAGGAACACATTTACCTACATTCCTTATTATTTTTGTACTAATGTTTGCCTAAAAATAAATCAGCAGTTCTTTACCTTTTGTGCCATTCAGAGTAGTGTTCTGCAAGAGATTAGCAAATTACAAAAATTGATACAAAATGACTCTGACAGCCCTTAAGCTAGACTGTACACTCTGGTGAAATGACCTGTCTAAGTCAACCAAAGCTGATAAAACTTCAGCCATTTTAAAGAAACATCTCAGGGTGCATCTTTTTCACCTGCACTCTACACTCTCAGAACAAAATGGTACAATGTTGGTACAAGAAGGTGCAAACCCTTGTCACTGGGCCAGTACCTTTTTATGGGACAGTATTGTACCTTAAGACAAAGAAATAAATTTGTACCATTGCATTTTGTACCTTTAAGCACATTATTTGTACCATGGAAAACCAAAATGTACCTTTGTTTTTAAAACCTGTAGATACAATATTGTGCTTTTATCAATGGTACAAATCTGATCCATCAAGGTACAACTACAGTGACAAGACACTTTGTACCTTGACAGTGTCAAATATGTTCCTTCAAGAACTATTTAACGGTGTTTTGCTGTAATCAAAATGTGTCAATTTATTTTCAGTAAATATAAAACATCAAATACATTTTTAAAAATTTTTTTCTTTTTCATTTTGTGTAAATGCACATTTTTCATTTGATAAAGAAAAAATACTTTAACAGAAGTCAAAAGATCTATTTTTGCTAATCATTTCACAACACTTTTCACAAAAATGTTAAAGAAATACATTTTCCCATCTACAATATAAAACTTTTTTCTCCAATTTTCACACAATACCTTTGTAATCACTTAAAAGTTTAATTTACTTAAAGTTGAAATAGAAATAGAATTATGCAAAAGTATTGTAATTAGGCTTGGGCGGTATTTCGGTATTATGGTATACCGCGGGATCTAAAAATAGCAACGGTGTCAGTTTCAATACCGTTATACCGTCATAAAATATTAAATATCCTTTATTTAATGCCTACAAAAACGTATGTGTGGTTGTCATCACGGGACTGTGGAGGAGAGAGAGAGAGGAAGAGGGAGAGGGAGAGGTGATGTGACGTGTCGCGCTTCAAAGTGTCCTGCAGTTTGGCAGTTTCGACTGAACAGAAGGGAGACGTGGTTAATATGAACGAGAGATCTGCATTAGAGCTGAAGATCTTTGCCCGAACCCGGCGAGACCCGAAAAAATCCAAATCCCTGCATTAAAATCCATCCCTGCAAAGGTGAAACAAATGATGATGAAGTAGTAAAAAAAAGCGAATTATTACGGCGGTCAAGCCAGTCACTAGCTCAGAAAGAGCGCATTCCAGCCGCAGGTATTTCGCGGTCGCTCATACACTGCGTATTACGGTAGAGCCCTAAACCGCAAGCTGACAGGTAAAAAGACGAGGCCTCTCGCTACAGTGAAACTGCCGTCATGGAAAATTAAATGGATGTTCCTGACTGGTAGAAGATGAACAAACAATGCAACCCAAAACTTGCAAAATCAGCCAGATCAGAACTCTGTATCTCGACCTGTAGCAGCAGGAAAGGGTGTTCAGCTGCTGGACCCCGTGAGCGCAGGACTGCGCTAAAGCCTGTGGATTTAAATGTTCCTCCATAAACACACGTAGCCTAATCTTGGTGAGTAAAGGGTTTTTCAGTTATAAATAAATATTAATTAAACCATATAATCATAATGTAGACAGAGTATACAGACTAATGGTGGCATTATTCTTTTAATATTCAGCTTCACCGCCGCCTTAATGCCAGATTGTGAAGAGAAGTTGAGAAACAAACCTTGCAGAGCCTTTATCTTAATTTCGTTATTGCCAAAATACCCGTCATCATTTAGAGTTTATTTTAATTTGATTTGTTAAGAAAGATTTTTTTTCATTTGTGTGTTGGCCAATTTAAGGGCTAAGTGCATGTACCTAGACCTATAGAGTGCTGAGATGTTACGATGTTACAGAGGACTTTATTTCTTTGTTCCAACTTTCAAGTGGCATATAGCCTAGTCTACGTTTGTTACGAATAAATGATGTTAAAACATATAAATGACTCATTCTTGAAAATGCAATAGAGCTGTGTGCATGAGCACATTTGAATAATGTCGGGCTGTGAACAGGTTCGCGCTGTATAAAGCTGTCAATCAAACTGTACCTGTCGGACTCGGGACCTATCGGGTATAATTTTTATTGCCCGATTACAGCTCTGCATTCCCGCTGCAGTACCGCGGGAGCCGGCCAGATTTCTTATGGTGTAGGAGTAAATTTCTGAATAAATCGCGGGAGAGATGTGCGTGTGTGTATGTGTGCGTGTGTGTGAGAGAGAGAGAGAGAGAGAGAGAGAGAGAGAAGAGAGGTGCTGTGCGTCGCTTCTCTCTCTCTCTCTCTCTCTCTCTCTCTCTCTCTCTCTCACGTAGTGGAAACGTCAAAAGGCACGGATATATCAATTATGAAAATGTATTTATCAGAAAATGCTTACCAAATGTTTATTAAAAATACCTTAAATGTTTAGTTTACAACACTTATAGTTCTGTTTTACCAGTTGTTTTGTATTATAGAACTTAATAACTAATTTCATGAGTTTCTTTAAACATATGCTTTTAAATGAAGAGTCATAATTTAATATGGAAATTATTAATAAAATTACTTTGCCTTCCAATCATATTTATTTTCATAGATATTGTTATAAAGAGGGAGTTGTCCAACATTTATGTAACTTTTTAATAAGAACATTTGTGTACCTTCATTTCAATTGTACCATAAAAGGTACAGAGCAGTATCATAAGAGGTATTTTCTGTAACATTTACAAAGATACAAAACTGTTACTTAAGGAACATTATGTGTACCACTGTAAACTTTTTTTTCTGGGAGTGTACTCATAAATATCAGCACCTTATGTGATCCATTTATTTATTTTATTTTTAAAAATGCTGTTAGACTAACTGGAACTTGTCACAGCACTTGCTTATTGTTGCTCTTATGTTGGTCTGATTGCTTCTATTGTTCACCTCATTTGTAAATTGCCTGAAATAAAGCATCTAATGATTAAATGTAAAAGTAAATCCACATGATTCATTTCAACTCAAAACAATGAGAACAAACAGAATCAACAAAAGCATTTACCACTGATTAGTATGTGATTAAATAGTTTATAATTTCTCCTTATGAATAAAATGTTTTTATGTCTGTAACCCCCCTGCCGCACTAAGCTAATATATAATCTTTCAGAATAGTAAGAGAGCATTTCTTTTTTTTTCATAAATGTCTGTTTAACGGAGAGATTTTTTCAACACTAAAAATAAT